CCTAAGAATATAGAACATCAAACAAATAAGAAAGTAGCAATCGTGTTTTTAAATATTTGCTCTTTGCACTAATTAAAAGACTTCGATAAACAATATTAATGAAACTAAATTTAAGCAATGGCTTTTATTTAATAAATTTGATCCGTAATTAATCTTTAGTCAAACAATCCCTTCAAAAATATTTCAAAGCGAATTTGAGCAATCAAGTAGCTTCTATGTTTATTAAAAGAGAATTAATTTCTATTAATTAAATTAAATATAATCCAATTTTTTAGTTTTTGATTCAAGACTTGATTAAATGTCAGATTCCTTAAAAGCTGGATTAGTTATAAATAGATTATTTTGGCTTTCCTATATATCATAATTTTAGTGTTGTATTATTTAAAGGATTTTTCTCAGTAAAAATATATGATTAAATTTTATTCAGTTACAGAACTTATTATTTTTAATAATCTGAAACAGGTTTTTTTTTGTCCTATATAAAAACCTTTTAAGTTTTTACGCACTGAAATTAAGATATATGTTTAAAAAATACTTACTTCCGGGTGAATGAAATTCAATACTAAATGAGTTTTTATACTTATCTCATTTTGACGGCATTTTGTTTTTAATAACCCTGTCATTTCTTATGTTGAATGCAATTATAATTAGTTACATTAAATCAATAACCTTTTAGAGGAGTGTATTGACAAAAAAAAACTTAACAGTTCTGAACAGATTGCATATAAAAAAAGGAGTACTAGTCTCATTTATTACAAATCTCACCACACTTTAAATTAGTATGAAATAAAATAAAAAATTTCGCAAAGTGAATTTCGAAAGACATCAGGAAATGTTTTAGTAATAATTAAGGTGTAAAATTTGATAAATATCGGTCAATATTTTTAAGAAAGTTCTGCATTTGCAGAGTATTATTTTTGATTATTAGTTAAATTTTATGTTCTTCTTATGAAAAAAAATTTGTAAACCAATTTTATCGGCGCATTTGCTGATAAGATATATTTACATGTCGAGGCTCTTAATTAATATTATATCGATCCACCGGGTTTTTTCATAAGTCCAAGACAATTCAAAGCCTAACTTATGTCAAGTCTTGTAGTTCTAGCTCAAATTAGTCAATTATTTTATTTGTTTTTTTTAACATATCACCCCCTGAAAATAGTAACTTATATAATCCATCTCACTTTGAGAATTATTTTTTTATCAATTAAATGAAGGCAATAAAATTAGTAAAAAATATTACTTTAATGAAAAAGAAATAAAATTTAGTGACGACAACCTCTCACGTTATTGTCCGATTCTTGTCACACTTTACACCTTACTTGTTACTATACGTACCTTTTAGAAGCTAAAAAAAGTCTATGTGAAACCTTGTTTCCCTCCACCTTACTGCAAATAACATAGGTGTAACATAATATATAGAAATGTGTGTAATCAAGTGATTATACCCATCTCTAGAAAAATGAAGTAAAAAAAGTCACTATATAGTTCTAGCTATAGTTACAAATTTATATATTATTTTTGATACATAATTCTTGCTATGTTTACATAATTTTACACGTGTTTATTTTGCTTATAGTTGTGTTTTTAAAACTTGTTTATATGAAACAAACTATTTTAAAATCAACGGTAATTGAAATAAAGATAAAAAAAAATTCTGCACTAAAATGCAAAGCTATGGAAAAAAGGTACTGATTAGGCAAACCATTATTGACGCCTATTATTGACACTATAGAGCTCAATTAGTTTTGGTAAGTAGTACTTGTGAAAGTATGGTTTAATTGGGGCTGCGTTTGTAATAGGTATCATGTACATAAATATAGTTACTAGGTACTATAGGTTTTGTTGTAGCGGGTTCTTAAGGATCCACCTAATTTGATATGTTCTGCAGAAAATTGCTTGATTGTGATTCAATTCCACTATCATGAAACATCCTTGACCAACTGATTCGCACCCAATAACACTGGCTGATAACTGCTAAACTTTATTTTGATGGGATAAGCTACTAAAAAACTATTTTGCTCAATCTAATAACATTCAACCACTGAGAAATGCAATAAATGAAAAAATAGAAATATTTTATGTTATGTTGCCATATATCTTTCATTTCTGTGCATGGTTTTGTAGTTTTGATTAGAGTTGAGGAATCAATATAGAAAATGCTTCACTCGGACTCCAGACTTTTCCGAGATTTCGACTCTAATTCCGATTCCCACTCAATCGTATAACTTAACTAATATTTTAACTATTTATTTGGTATTCTAATTTTTATATTTAACTGATATAATTTAATTGCTATTGTGATACTAAAAATTTTATATCTACCTTGTTAATAACAGAGTATCTAGTCAGATTTATAAGAAATATTATCTTCTGTCATCTGTTTAGTTAAAAAAAAAACTTTTCTCAAATCGAAGTTTAATGTCATTACGAAATTTGAAAGAGAAAATATTGAAAAAAAATGCACATTTAGAAATATACTTAATAAATCATAAGTTCATACACTATTTGAAATAAAAGAATCTAAAAACATTTAAAAAAAACTTTTTTGTGGTTCAGCACGTAACAGGAAAGAAATAAAATAATGAGTGTAACTTAATAAAACGAATTGATATAGTCTCAGTCAATTTTCCAGATATTATGCTTATTTTATAGAAAGTTTAACCTAAAATGTGTTGCAAGAATTTCTCATAAAATTTTTTAAGAAGGTAGATGAAAAGTCGACGATTTACAAATAACAATAATAACAAGAAATAAACCACTAACATTTTATCTGTTTTATTTTTTTCTTAAATAAGAAATTTCTACAAGGTATTTTAAGATAAACTTAGTATTAACTGAGCATAATATCTGAAAAATTAACTGAGACTATATCACCTTCATTCTTTTAAGTTACACCCAATATTTTATTTCCTACTGTTTCGTGCAAAGCTAGAGAATTTTTTTTTAAATATTTTAAATAAATTTTATTCAAATGTGTTTTTAATAATAATGAAAATATAAATTAAAAATTCTCTGAATGAAAATTAAAATATTAATGCTTCTCATTTATTCTATAATTAAATTTTTATAGCTGAAAATTAGTAATTTTATGAAAAATTTGCATTTAAAGAACGGTGAGACGTAAATTATCAACAATTTACGTCATGTATTTTAAACAATCTATATTTTCCTTAATGCTATTTTTAAAATTAAATATCAATGAAACTATCATTGAATTACATAAATTTATTTAAAATGAAACATTTTTAATTTTAAACTTTTCTTTTTTAATCAAACTATTTATTTATGCATTGTAATTTTCTCAATAGTAAATATTTCTCTTATTAGCTCGTAATTAGTAATTGGTTTCTATTTATTAGTTCAAAAATATCCAAATGATGAACTGTAAGCAAAAAAAATCAAAAAAATGTATGAGCAGATTGCAGTTTGAATTATTATCTTATACTCTAAAACAGTCTTTCTCAAAGTGGGCGATAACGCCCCCTTGGGGGCGTTTGAAACCTAGAGGGGGGCGTTAAGGGGACCAGAAAAAATGGGGGTATGTATAATTTGAAATTTCATTTACTTGATATAGTATTTTAAATTTCACTAGAATTAAAACCCACCTACTACACAATAAAGAATAATTAGTATATATTTCTACCCTGTATGATGTTATAAAAAATACTTAACATAGATTTCGTAGGATAGCCCGCACACCGTACGCAATCAAGTTGTAACAAGTTTCTGCGGATTGATAAAGGAACATGATCGATGATAGTTAAAAAATTAGAGAAATTTTACCTTAATTACATTGCACCAGAACGAANAGATTTCAACAGATTGATCTTTCACACAGAAGTGCGTTGGCTATCAAAAGGAAATTGTCTGACTCGTTTTTACAATCTGTTTGATTCTGTCATAGAGTTCTTGGAAAACGAAGACACAGAATTGCGCGAAAACCTCATCACATCAAAGAATGATATCGCATACCTAACAGACCTTTATACATTGCTTAATGATATGAATCTCCAACTTCAAGGCGATGACTTGAACTTTATTAAAACAAAAAATGTCGTCACTGCTTTCGTAGCCAAGCTGCTCTTACACAAAAAGAATATCGGCAGACGTGAGTTCCATAATTTTCCCAATTTATCAGTATCCTGCAACAACGACGACTTGCTCGTCTACTGCCAATATTTGGAAAATCTTCACAGTGATTTCATTGAAAGATTCCAGGAAATTTTGAAATTGGAAATACCAGACTGGATATTAGATCCTTTTTCAAATGTCAACATAGCAATATCACCCCAGTAGGAAGAATTTATAGAACTGACAACGAACGATGAAATAAAAATCAAATACAAAAATGGCTACCAACAATTTTGCTACAAAAGTCAATTCCACAGTTGTACCCTGGATTGTGGTCTATCGTTGAACGATTTTTGATAGCATTCCCATCGTCATATTTGTGTGAACATGGATTTAGCGCTGTGACAACGCTGCTTACTAAAAAGAGAAATAATTTGCAAGTTACCAAACGCGAGTTACGACTGTTTTTGAGTAAAATCGAACCTGATATCAACAAACTTATTAAATATCATCAAATTCATCCATCTCATTAGATTAGTATAAAAACGAAAACTGATTACATATTTTTATTGTTTCTTTTATTTCAATTAAAATATATTATTAATATTATAAAGTTGGGTTTTATTTGCTCTCACTGGTAAAAATTTCTAGTTTAGAATGTAAGTTTAAACATCAGAACCGACTAATAAACTAAATTAATTAAAGTAATGAATTTATGGTTTTTAAGTTTTAGGGGTGTATAAAAAATGGGGGGCGTTGAAAAGTAATTGATTTTCAAAGGGGGCGGTAAAAGAAATAAGTTTGATAATCACTGATGTACAGCATACACCTTTTTAAGTTGTTTAGGCAATCAACAATTTTTTTTCTTTTATTATAATTAGATTATTACGCTAAACTATCAAACTACTTGATAATCTAACGCAACATGCAATATCTCAAAATTGTAAATTTTGCCCAAAAAAAAAACTATAATGTAAGAAGGATTATAAATTATAATAAAACAGATACTAAATTGTGAAATAAAAATTTATATTGAAATAAAAGAAATTAATATTGCCCCTCTGTCGTTTCCACGACAGAGGAGCACTTAGAATTTATAACTTAGAGCAGTTTTTTCAATTAATGTGAATAAAACTATTTCAATATTTCACATCTCTTTCATGCGAATTAATCTATTTCAGTACTCTTACATTTGGTACTAACAAGGGAAACTAGGGAAGTGTGACTCGCCAATTTTTAAATAAACTAGTGGGATGTATAACTTATGAGGAATAATTTTAGGGGCCAACATTCGTTTCGGCCAATAGAAGGTCCTATGAGAGATAAAAAAATAATTCAATACATAGACAAATCGGTATTTTATTACTTCAATGCTTTTAAAGTTAAATATTTCAAACATTAGCTAGGATATCAGATATAAAAATAATTGTATTAATAATATTATAAAAATAGCAATGCTTTGACAAAATATTGAACAATCCACAGGACATAGGTATCAACGGATTTTCCACCTTAAAGTGACATATCACCTCAAAATTTGTGTATACACAGTTGATCTTTTATGAAGAAAATTGAATTGAAATATGAAACATTTTTTAAGTTCAAATTTCTCGCCGAAAAAATTTGAAAATATTTTTAAAAATGCAATTTAATTTTATGCAATCACATAAATTATTTCAGATTTTTTTGCAGGATCTAACAATATGAAGAAAAAAATGATTTTTCACATGAGTCACATTTTTGGATGCTACATAAGCTATACTCACAAAAAATTCCATCAGTTTGGGAAAATGTGTATTATATTTCGACTTTCATATAAATGAAATTTATTACAATTCACTTGCATTTATATTGGAAAATTTTACGAAGAAAAACAAAATTGAAAAAAATTTCATGCCAACTTTTTTTTAAAATTAACCTAACAGATTTTTCTAAAAAACTGCAGATATATAAAATTTTCGAAATCAATTTTGACAGTAAATATGCATTATATAGTAAGTGAAAGTACCACAGAATTAATTGGAGTATGAGAGTCTGCATTGAAGTAATAAAATACCAATTTTTCTATGTATTGAATTATTTTTTAT